GCATGAACATTTTTTTTGGATCGAAAAAATATCGAACCGTGACACCAAAGTATCGAACCGAACCGAACCGTGAATTTTGTGTATCGTTGCACCCCTAGTATTTACATCTGAGAAAAAGTCAAAAAGTCTTGTAAAATTGCTTACCTGTCAGTGTCTCCGTACACAACACGCGCTCCCCATTTCTTCGTGTCATTGACCATCCTGATGGCTCTCTCCAGGGTCTCTCTGGCTTTGTGGACAATGCTGTCTCCAACCTGGACACAGCAGATTTAATAAATATTGGAGCAAAGGGGTTACGACTACATTCACAGCAACACTGACTCAAGGTAAAGGCCCTACAATAATACAGAGAAAATAGTTTGATTGACAAAACAACAACAACTATTTTCATGAATTATAGTGGTATCGTACTGGGAGTGCACAGTGCAGAGACCATATAGCAGCTGCTGCTGAGCCTACCTCCACACTGGGCATGCGCCCAGAGTAGTTAGCAGCGGTGTATCCAAAGGTGACGTTGGCGATGAGCTTGAGTCCGAGCTGCCGTGCGTCCAGCAGCTTCGTCAGGGATTTGTCCTGCTTGTAGGTTTTCATGGACTGCTTCACCATGATCCTTGTGTTGAGGATTTCCTCCAGCATCATGGGCAGGACACCTTTACGCACTGAAGACTAGAACAAATAAAACACAGATCATTTAAAACACTGATTTTTTTTTTTTTTACAATGAAGAAACATAAAGTAGGGTTGCACCAAAACTCTAAGAAGGACCTAAAATGGGCCTGATCTGCAGCATGGGGAAGCGCTGTAACTTAGAACGTAAAAAGCAATTTAGAAGTTTAGCTTTAGGCCCACAATATCTCTCAGTGTAAATAACAAAAATAAAGATGTTCCTGATCTACTGTGAGAGCTGCTTAAGTAGCACAACAGGGTAAAAACGGGCAATGTGGAGCAATCAGGCAGTGAATGAATGGAAGCACAGAGATCACAAAGTGGGTTTTCTTAGGAGGCACTGGCCCTTCACAGCAACTAATGAGACAATCCATCACAACGCCAACACTAAGAGCTTGGTGAGGTCTCGTCAGAGACAACGGTCATGATGATGAGGTTGCTGTACCTTAACGAAGGCGATGCCACCAGGTGACACAGTGATGTCGTTGCGGAGCTGGTAGAGGAGCTCGGGAGGGACTCGCAGGGAGGTGCAGCCAAACTTAAACTCATCAGGCCTGAGACAGAATGTGAACAAGAACACCAGTTCAATCACTTAACATTATTCTTGCAACGTGAATATTACTGTCTGGAAAGACAGCGTCAGGTATAAGTGAGAAAAATGCTCGTGTAGAAATCTGAACTGCTATGTTTTACAGCACCCCACTGAGCTGTCTCTGCTGAGGATGAAGCCTGTGCACGCCTGCCACAAACCACTCTTTTTGTGTTACTTCAATGTAGCAGACATATGCATGTGGAAAGAAGTGTTCATGGCTCCTTGCTGTTGCTATGCAACCACACAAATCTCACTGAAAACCTGAACTCAGTCTTAAGTTGCGCTGCTCGCCGCCCTGAGCTGTGAACAACATGCCGAGCTCTCAGCGTGCCTGTTCCATTAAAAATAATGAGGGGAGGAAGCCGCTGCCAGAGGGAGATTTTCCTGGCAGGCGTGCAGTCTGAGCGAGTTCTCTACATGCTGTAGCTGTGTGGGCCTGTCATGTCCTTACGTTCCCAGGTTGTCCACATGGCCGAGGCAGGTGGAGAAACAGTAGTTGTATGCGATGACAATGGAAGGGTAGAGCGACTGGAAGTCCAGCACAACCACCGAGTTGCTGTAAAAGCGGGACTCGGGCTCCATCACCAGAGGGATGCACTGTGGAGCCCTCTGCTGGGCACGCTGCTGTATGCTGGGCGTCACTGGGACGTAGTTTAGGGGCTTGGCCACACGCAGCATCATGGACTCCACACGGTACTAAAGACAAGAGGAGGAAACACAGTTTAACTTATTATTCCTTTTGTTCCTTCACACATCCAACTGGAATTTTTACCACCTGCAAACTAAACTCTTAATGATGTCTTAATGACAATCTCATCTGGAGCATGCTCGGTGTGTTTAAGTAACTCAGAGTTTTTAGGTTTTTTTACTTTTTAGTTCATATTTGGCAGGTGGAAGCAGCAGCATTGGGAAACACACAAAAAGCTGCAATCAAGTCAAACAGATTTCAGCTGCATTCAGTCTGTACAGGAAGTCAGAGAATCACTCATACCCTGCTGGAGCTGATTCAGATTTAGGAAGGTGTTATCAGACCCCAGTATCAGGTTGTATTCAATCCGCAGTTGTTAAAATGTTTTACGGGTGCAGCATCATCCCTGTTTGCAGAGCGTATCTGTCTCTCTAATAAGTAATATTTTTGTGTTAGTTAATATTTAAATCAAATTGTTTGTGTAACTTCTCAGTCATCCGTCATGGTCACCTTGAGAAATCGAGGAGGCGGCAGTTGGATGTTTCACCCTTCATCCAAGAGGATGCTTCATTTCATTTAAATCAAAACAGTCCAAGATTATAGGGCTTTGAAATCATGTGTAGGCAGTGATCTCTTCAACTAGAAAACATCAACATCAGCCACACATTTACTGTGTTAACAGATTAAATGTCATACTGTTTAGTCAACCTCTGAGGCAAACAGCTGTGACACCAGTTGAGAGCCTAGACAGTTTCCCATTGTGCTCTGAGGCTGTGACTGCATGATGTTAGCGCACGTCAGCATCAGTGTGCACAGAAATCTGTGCAGCAGTAAGCAGTGATCAAACCAGCACAGGCGGGGCTCGTCTACAGTGAGCTCAACGCTAAACCAGCAGAGCAGAAAAACACCTCCAAAACTGGATGAGAATTACTGGACAATTTTAAAATTACACACACACACACACACACACACACACACACACACAC